TTAGTAAGAGGGAGTGCAGAATAGTATTTAAAACATTTTCCTTACATTCTCCATAGGTGAAGATTGCAGTAGAGCATATTGTATGCTTTCCTTTGAATTAGTGGGAGTACTCTGTTTTATTAGAAGAGCATCAAGACCTTGATAATAACCCCTTTAGTGTTCGCTCCCCAGTTCTGGAGTATATTTCCAGAGATATGTTATGCTTGCCCACACACAGATAGTTTAGACAGTAACCATTATTCTCTTTTGGACTTAATCTTGATGAAAAAAATCCATGCAAGAATGAACTGCCTGGTTAAATACTTCATTGGGCTAAAAAAGAGCTTTCTGAGTTTACACTTGTTTGTTCTTCTTTCCTCCTCCTACTCCACTACCCTTAAAAGAGGCTCGTTAATAATTTTTAATGTTTTAGCTTTGTTGTTGTTGCAATTCAGAGTTTACTTAAAAGGTGGAATAAGTCAACTTTGAGAGCAAAAAGTGGATTACATCCATTTCTGTAGTTCTGGGACCTGGTAGATACTAGATGTGTGGTAAATAAAATAGTAGACTTCCTTGAGAAATTGCTGTGTTTAATTATGGCAATGGAATTTTTAGTCATTCGGAAGCTCAAGGATGATTGGTGTAAACAGGCTCATCTTAGATATCTTGAGGTTTTCCATAAGTGAGACTAGTAGCTCACTGTCTACCTGTTTTTCCCGCTTTTATTTCTTGGCTTCCTACTGCATGCTAGACATAGGAGCATAACATTGAACAAGTCACACATTTCCTGTCCCCAAAAGTTTATAGTTAAATTGGAAAAGATGACCAATGAATAGTTACAGAGTTGCTGTGAGAAACATTGGTGGGGTGGGGGGAAAATAACCTAGTCTTTAGGGGAGTCCAAGAAAGAAGAGTAGAAATTAGGCAGTGAAGCTCAGCCAGATCATAAAAGGGCCCATAAGCCATATTAAGGAGTTTGGACTTTATAGTAATCAGTGAGAGGGAATGATTACTAAGGTAAGCACCTTAAAGATCCAGATTCTCATCTTTATAGGTAGTTTTTATTGCTTACATTTGTGTAATGGATTTGTACAAAGATAATGTCTGTGATAATAACATTTTTACATTTCATCTTTGATTTCTATCAAGGAGATTTGAAAAAAAAAAATATCTTACCAGCCAACCACAGGAACCTGGCAGGCAGCCTTTGGGTTTAAAGAATATTGTTTAATCATAATGATCCCAGCAATAGATAAATTAGTTTTTCAAGTCTTTAAGAATTCGTGTTTGTTTATAACATACCCTTGATTAAGGTCATTGTACTGGCTATCAAGTTGGCAGTCTCTTGAGGGGAAATGGGATACTTTCCTGACTGGCACACTTTTTGAATGAGCTCATCCACTTTTAGTCTATGGGTGGGATCTATATTTATTATATATTTTGCATCACTTACATCATTTACATAGATCCTAAATTCTATGTTATTGACTTTTCTATATATACTTTCCCATGTTTCCCATATTTTGGGATACACCACCCCAAAATATGCCACTTTGGAATAAGGATTATTTTGAGCTGAAGGCAATTCAGCAAATGCAGAAAGAGCTATTTTCCCTCCCTCTACTGCCTAAAAGTAGGACATAAATTTCCCTTTGTGAAGGTCTTCCCTCTTCCCTCTCCTATACTAGGAGGAGGACAACTCATCACTGGAGGTAGAGTTGGCACCAAAATTGTCTGAACAAACTTACTTTACTACAGTAACTTTCTTTTCTATTAATTTTGTCTCATATATTTACTTTCTCTTAATTAACCACCCCTAGAAGCCCAAATTCCTTTTCCTTTGTCTTGTCACTTTTCCACAATTTATCACCTTTTGTTAGAATGGTATATAAGCCCTAAGTCTAACTGCTTTTTTGGGGTCTCCACTTCTTTCTTTTTTGTGAAGGCCTCTATGTATATAAAAAATAAAATATTAACAGCGAATAAAATTTGTGTGCCTTTTCTCCTGTTAATATACCTTCTTTCCGTTTAATCTGCAGGTCCCAGAGACAGAATCTAAGAGAGTAGAGAAAAAGGTTTTTTTTCTCCCCTACAGTTCTATAACATCTTGTTTATAATTTTTAATGGCTTATATGCTTTGTTCTGTGCTATTTAAATATTGACTACAATATTGATTTATTTCTGTCATCTTTAGTTTTTAGATAGTGGTTCTCAACCCTGGCTGAATAACAGAATGATCAGCGAGGCTTTTTATAGAACCTACATTTTTGGGGCCTACTCTAGAACAGGCCCAGTGAATCAGACTGGCAGTGGGCCCTGAAATCTAATATCTAAAAACAGTGTCAAAGAAAACCGGAGGCAGATAGAAGTTAAAGTGGCAAAGGCAAATCTTATTCAAGAACTATTACAGTAGGAAAAGATATGTCAGTATAGAATTGCACCCTGTTCTGGAGGTGCCTGGGTGGCTCAGTCAGTTAAGCCTCCAGCTCTTGGTTTCGGCTCAGGTCATGATCTTGCAGTCTTGGGATCGAGCCCTGTGCCTGGCTTCATGCTCAGCGTGGAGTCTGCTTTGGACTCTCTCTTTCCCTCTGCCCTCCACCCCGTTCTCTCTCTCTCTCTCAAATAAACAAAATCTTAAAAAAAAAAAAAAAGAATTGCACTCCATTCTGAGTACAACAAGGACAGTGGGGATTTGTAGCCAAGGAGCAGGATAGGTGTCAATGGATGGGAAATTGCTAAGAGGAAACATTAGGGGTAAGGGGGATTCTTGCTGAATGCAGAGCAGCATGATAAGATCAAGGGTAGGATGCGGAATTTTTGAGGGTGAGGGGTGTTTCCTTGAACTAGTTCAGCAGGATTCTTGCTAAAACTGAACTTAGGGGCCAAAGACAAGCCCAAGAACAAGGCCTAGTCAAAAAGAGGACTCAGAGGAGCCTAGGAAGGGAATTTTTGTCAACAGCTACAACTACTACAAAATAAAACAAAGGGGATTCTGATGTATGCATCTGTACTTGAGGATTGCAGCCTTATTTCCATAGAAGTTTGAGGCTTGACATTTCATTTAGATCTTTTCTTGATTTCCTTTTTAGTAGTAACTTGATGGTTCTGTAAATTGTGCAGCTTTTCCCCAGAAGGATACAGAAGAAAAATTCTTTATTCTTTTACTGGAGTGCACCAAGACACCAAAAGGACACAAAATCAAGACCAAATAATTCTTGTTTTGAAGCAAACACACTTCAACAAATACTTTAGGGGCCTATTGTGTTCCAGGCGATGTTTTAGTTGGTGGGGATATAGTGGTAAATAAGGCAGTCAAAAGCCCCAGCTCTGTTAGTTGGGGATATGATGGTGAAAGGGTAGAATATAGTATACCAATAACTAAACAAGTTAATTTCAGATTGTGATAAGCACTATGAAGAAAATAAAAGAAGGCTATAATAGAGACTTAGAAGGCTGTATTAAGATAGGAGGTTTAAAATGAAATTTTCATTACCAGTTGTTTTTAGTCATGCTCAGATTTGGGATCTAATAATCCAGGCAGAGAAATAGCAAGTACAAAGCCCAGAGTCAGTGGCAAGCTTGGCCTATTTGGGGGGCAGAAAGAAAACTGGTAGGACAAGAATATTCTAGGCAATGAGAGGAGGTGGTGTGAATAGGCATCTCTTAATTTCTATTAAGGGTGATTTCTAGGCTTTGTCTTTGAGCAACTGGTTCAGTTACCATTTTAAAAGTAAATTGTTGGGGCACCTGGGTGGCTCAGTCAGTTAAGCATCCTACTCTTGATCTCAGCTCAGGTCCTGATCTCAGGGTCCTGAGTTCAAGCCCTATGTTGGGCTCCATGCTGGGCGTGGAGCCTACATTAAAACATAAATAAATAAAAATAAGACAAATTGTTAAGATGGGGAGGACTGAGTGAAATTGAGGGAAGCCTAGGGTGATACTCATTAGGATGAAGCTCTAAAAAGGCTTCTGGATCTGGGACTTTGGAGTTCTCTCTCTCTCCCCATTTCCCCTTCTCTCCAGCCTTTCCACATTTCAGCCTCAAGATAGCCAGAGGTTTTGCATGCTTGCATGTTGATCAAAGGCTCCCAGAGCAATTAGTCTAAAAGAAACCTGCAGAGCCTGCATGGACTTTTCTAACCCAGCCTAGGAAGTCATGCATGCAGTCACAGACCACCTCTTGATGGGAAGCAATGTTTTTAAAACTGTCACATTACAGAAGCTTTCATTATATCGTTTATTATCTTTAAGGTTAATAATCACTTCTCTTTAAAAACAATGTTGAACAGTAGCTTATCTTTGGAATTATTAATGATATATATAAAATTATGAACCATTTATTTATGCTGTACTGATGGTTCTAAAAGTCTTCATATGACTTCCTTCCTTACACAGATACCTTACTGAATCCTATAACACTTTATCAAATGATATAAAATATTGAAAACGGTGCAGTTCTTCAAACTTTTGAAATTGTTCAGAGTTCTGTAAACCCTAACCTGAAAGGATATATGAACAGGTTTCTAGTTGAGCTTGTCATTAGTTTTCTAGAATGAGTCCTAAATCTGTTGGATGTTAAATTAAAAATTTAATGGCTGAAACTCTAAAGACTTTTTAAAAAAATTCATTCCTTGTGTATTTATTTCTGTAGTTTGGAAACAGCAATATTTTTTTCTTTACATTATCTAGAATTCTATATGTATTTCTTTTTATTATATTCCTTTAGAAAGGGAACTAGGATTGTAGTTTACTTTTATATGAGTGATTTTAATAACTTAAAATGTGTGATACTCATCCTTGACTAGGTGTTACTCATCTTGGCAGCTTTTAGGAAAAAAAACCTATGCCCAGGTCCTACTCTCAGAGATTCTGATTAGTTGATTTGGGGTGGGATCCAGGTGTAAGTAGCCTTTATGGCTCCCCAGGTGATTCTATTTGAAGCCATATTTGAGATTCACTGGTCTACTGCTTCAAATTGTGGTATTTGCTGATGCTAATCTTTGTCTTTGTAACAGAAGAAAAAAATGGAAGGCCTGCCTGATGCTGCTGCTTTTGCAACTAAACTTAAAAACACTCTCATCCAGTACCATAGCATCGAAGATGATAAGTGGCGAGTTGCCAAGAAAACGGTAAATTACCTAAATTGCTTATATATGGCATGTATCTTTTATCTAGTGAGATGGTTGATGACTTTCAAAATGGTAAGGGAAAATAGGGACCATACTTTGGGTGGATGGCAGGATAGATAATTAAGATAATAAAGTCGGTGGTTTGACATCTCACCAAGGCAAAAGCAATAATCCTGCACTGATTTCATTACTGCTTTAGATATTGGACCTGAGAATAGACTCTGGCAACACGAGCCTAAAGAATAGCTTCTAAAGTCAACATATAAAATGTAACATGTACTGATAGTTTGAAATAGTTCCAGATATTTCAACAAGCCTGTGAGGGTGGCCAGTTAGTATTCTTTTCTATTGGTATGACTTGTCCAAACTATCACATGGCTGAGTGTTGACAGAGCCAACCCTAGAACCCAGGACTCTTCTAATGAAGTACTCTAGCTAGTCTGATATTCAGAATTTCTTGGGAAATGATCAGAAAAAAAGATGTAGGGACTAATTCAAGGTCGCACTGTCATAATAGATGTGAATTGTTTGATTTTAAAAAAGATATGAGCAAGTTCAGAATGAAATATTTAGCATTCCTCTTGTCTTAGTCTAAATGTGTCAGTAATGGTAAATAGATAAGATTGGAGTGAGGCAAATAATAATGGCTGGTGAGGATATTAACAGTGTTTGCATCTCATTAAGCTACTGAGAAATCTGTTTTGGACGTCTGTACTTTAAGCAAAATGTAAAGAACTTTAGGATACAGAAGAAAATCAAATATGGATCATTTTGATGGTTTAAGTGACTTTTATGTATCTCTTTGAATATTTACTTAAGTTTTATTTTAATGCAAAGACTGGTGTTCTATAACTTGAAATTGTCAGTTTTATATCCAGAGTTCCACCTAGGTAATGATTTATGCCCATATACTGTTTGTTATTTTTCCAGAAAGATGTAACAATTTGGAGAAAACCTTCAGAAGAATTTAATGGATACCTGTAAGTAAATTCTTGTACTTTTATATAGCTTTTAAGACACTGCCAGACTTCATATATATATATATATAAATATATATATAAATGATCACTAAATCATCATTGCCAGTAAAATTTGGCTTTTAAGATTTGTGAATTGTGTAAGACTGTTGAGTCACAGACCTGTACCTCTGAAACAAATAATACATTATATGTTAAAAAAAAAAAAAAAAAAGAAGATAGTAGGAAGGAAAAAATGAAGGGGGGGAGATCGGAGGGGGAGACGAACCATGAGAGACTATGGACTCTGAGAAACAAACTGAGGGTTCTAGAGGGGAGAGGGGTGGGGGGATGGGTTAGCCTGGTGATGGGTATTAAAGAGGGCACATATTGAATGGAGCACTGGGTGTTACACGCAAACAATGAATCATGGAATACTACATCAAAAACTAATGATGTATGGTGATTAACATAACATAATAAAATAAAAAAAAGATTTTAAACTTTCTGAAGAAGCATATCACCTTATGAATTCAAAGCCTTTAAAGTGTCCATGTCTCTTGTGGACTGAGTTGATAGTAAGGGAAATCATAAATAATGATATCGCACGGCCTATAAAAATCTTAAATTTCTTAGCACAGTGTATAACTCCCTTCTAATATTCTTCTATATTTACTTAGTGCTGTAGCATACTTTAAGAATTTATCTTAAAGAAATCATAAGAAAGATAATAGTTAAGTACTTATCTCTTCCATCACAACATTACTTATAATATTAAAAATTACAAACAACTTGAATAATCAATAGAGAATGGTTAAATTTTGAAATGTGGTATTTTACAGTCTTTAAAAACTATGTTTTCAAATATTAGTTTAAAACACAAGAAAATGCTCGCTCAAGATGTAAAGTGAATAAAGCAGAATATGAAACTGCATGTAGAATTGTGCGTTGACTTTAATTTTTATGTATTAAAATATTTTTACTTAACACCGGATACACACCTTGAGGTAGCTGCTTTATAGGTGATTTCTATTTCCATTTTTTGATATTTGCATATAGTTGAACATGAGTTATACTTTTCACCAGAAGAAAAAAATACTGTTTTTTAAAGCCAGTAGAGAGACAGTTGTCTTGTGTAATTGGAGTGGAATGTTCATATCCTTGGGACTCAGTCCTTTTAAAAATGAAACTGTGGGTCCCACTTACTATGTGTTCTCAAGTATAATCCCAAAGATAGCATTTCCAGAAAGATGAGTTATACAATATTTATGACAAGGACCAGGAAACTAGAGTTGTGGATTAAGCATTGTAAGCAAGTGTGAAGTTAACCCTTTAGATCACTGATTCCCAGTGGGGGTTGAAAAGCACAAAAAAATGCCAGGGGAGCATTATGCTTGGTGATTTGAGGGGACTTCATTGAAGAGCTAGTATATGAACTGAGCTTTAAAGGAAGAATGGGTTATTTCTTAGGGAATGAAGGGCGGGTTCATATTCCAGGCAGAGGGGATTGCATCTACTACATAAACACAGGTGGAAAACACTCTAAGGAGTTTGTTTAGGGAAGTAGAAGTGATGTTTGTATAGCTGGAGCATAAAGTATGAGGGTAGGGAGAGCATATGTCTGAAGGATTTTTGAATTCTAAAGTAAGGAATTCAATATTGTGCTTACCTGTGCTCAGCCTTTACTCCCACTTCCCAGGTCATCAAAGATTTTGAACTTAATCTGATAGCACTGTGAAAAATGGAAATGACCATGGAGAGTTTAGAGAAGAGGTTTTACCCTGGGAGTCCATGGCTAGCTTCTTGAAGTTTCCTTAAGATCATAAACATAATTTTGTGTCAAATGTTATATTCCTGGGAAGAGATCTTTGGCTTTTTTTCAGAAACTTAAAGAGATACGTGGTCCAAAGAGCTAGAAATGGTTGCAGTGTTGAGCTGGACACAGTGCCCAAACTAAGGACGTAGCATGAGAGTTGAAAAGGGCAAGCGAATGTGAAAGGGATCTAATGGTGGTGGTGGTGATGATAACTGACATTCATTGAGAGCCAAATATTGTTCTAAGCACTCTACATTTAGGAAGTCATCTTGATAAAACATGGTGACTTTTGTTCTGACTGTTGAAATGGGATGAAGAGAAAAAGAGTCAAAAGTTGAATCCCAGATGTCTAATTTGGGATTAATTTGTATTGCCCCATTCCCACCCTCCACCCCAAGTTAGAGAACACAGGAGGGAAGAGCAGATTTAGGATGGGGGAGACAGTGTAAGTTTGAGCTGGAAATACTTACAAAATGATAAAACAGCTTCAGATGCTTTAAAAAAAATCTTTTCAAAAGACCTGCCCAAAATGTTACTGATAGAGTTAAAGCCAATCTATCTCTAATTTCTTCTTTCTTTCCTCCCGAGAGGTAGCTACTGTCTTAAAGTGTATTCATTCCTTTTTTATACTTTGACCACATATATATGTGTGTGTTTCCTCTGGTAATTTGCTTTTGATTTTTTTCCATTTAATATAGTGTTCTTTTCAGGATTTAGCCATGTTGTTACATGCAGATCTGTTCTTTCACGTTCATATGAAAATATTACGATGTGTTTAGCTGTGTTTGTAAATTTTTAGGTTGTTGACAATTCTTCCTTATGAAATACAGTGCTGTAGTAAACTTCCTTAGTATATGTGTCCTTCTATACACATGTGTGATTTTCTTTGGCTATGTACCTGGGTCTTAAAGACATGCATCATTCAACTACACTAGACATTGCCAAAGTAATTGCTCTCTAAAGTGGTAGCAGTTTGAGAGTTCTCATTCCCTTCCATTCAATACTTGTTATGTTTTTACTCTGCCAGTCTCAGGGATATGAGATGGTATCTTGTTAGTATTTACTTGAGTACGAGTGAAGTTAGCATCTTTTCTAAATTTATTGACATTTCCGATCAATCTTATATCTTTTGTCCTTATTTTCTTTGGATTGTCTTTTTTTCATTGGTTTATAGGAATTAATTATGTATTCTCTATAATAATTATGGCTGTTTATATGTGTTGCACATACCTTCTTCCAGTCTGTGGCTAGTTTTTAAAGAAATTACTTATTTTGTCATTTGTGTTATGCAAGTTTTTAATTTTAACTGTCTTGTATTATTTGTGTTTTTGTTTATGTATTCAAGAATTTTCCCCTGTATCCTGAAGTCACAAAAATGTATTTTTCTCAAAGTTTTAAATTTTATGTAGTGGTCTTTAGTCTGTCTGGAATTAATTGTTTTGAATGGTGTCAAGTAGTGATTCAGTTTTTAATTTCTCTTTAGGGTAGGTACTGAATCAAAGCGCCATTTATGGAATAGTACATCCTTTCCCCACCGATACGTAGTGCCACCTTTGAAATATGTCGAGTTCTGCTATTATTCATGAGTCAAACCTCTGTGTGCTATTCCTGGGTGACCTATTTTCCTGTTCCTGTAAAAAGGTTTTTGAAAGTCAGAGTAAAAATATGTGCATACTAATAACATGTTAGAGCCTAACTGAGAAAAGAACAGCATGCAGAATAAATGAAGCTTGAATGTTGTATGGACTGTTTTTGGCTACACCGTAACATGAAGGTACTTTCCTATGTTCATGATAACATAATTTAGCCTTCAGATCACTTGTTAGATTTGAGGGCAAAGAGTACATTCTGATGAAATAATTGATATAACTTAATTTATCAGAAAAACTGTTGGGATTTATTCCCTTTAAAAAAAAATCTTTATTAACTTTTACTCTGTTTGAAGTTAGCTCTGAACTATGAGGGCATGCTGAAATTTTTCAGACTAATAGCATTTGACCTTAATATTTTTTTCTCCAGTTTCAAAGCCCAAGGTGCTATAGATGACAGCGTCAATAGTGTCATAGACCATATACGCCCAGGTCCCTGTCGCTTGGATTGGGACAGCTTAATGACTTCAATGGACATTTTGGAACACTTTGAAGAGGTATTTATTTAGAAACATTACTTCAGATTGTGTGTGTGTGTGTGTGTATGTGTGCGTGTGAGAGAGAGCATGTGAGTATGAGCATGTGCACCCACTTGTATTCATTGTATTCATTGTTTTGAGAGTAAGTAGTCGAGGCAGAGATCTCACAGGGGAATCCTTGCTGCCTTTTAAAAAGCTTGAGTTTCCTCATATTAATGAATATTAGTCAGAACTGAGTTTGTTTTACACAGTAGCTCTACCCTTGCTGCTTAAGAAAACTGTCAGCTCTTTAATTGTAAAACTTAAGGTGAGATTCTGAAATCTGAAATTCTAAAAACACCACCATCATATTCAGGTTTCTAGGTAATCGTATGTAGGTTTTTCCATTAATGTTAAGCCAAAATCAAAGACCAAAAATAAAAATGCCACCTTAGGCATTAGAGGATGATGTAACCAAAGTGGGTTGTCCTCTTTCTCTATTTCTGTTAATTCATTTTTCCCATGTTTGAATTTCTTTATTGAAACATTTGGTATTTTGGTCCAAATATTTGTGGATTTTATCTTGAACACCTGTAGTCTACACCACCTACTTCCGTGTTGAATATCATATAGGATACAAGGCCACTGCACTGAGTTAGAGATTTAGATACTGGGTAACTTACCTCTTTGTATTTTGATCATAACCTTATTCAGTCCCATACAGTGGCCATGAGATTTAGACTAGAGATCTAAGCCTATCAGAACCACTGTAAGAATTATTATTAATAAGAATTATAAATACATTTTAAATGAATATTAGTTTTTTACTAAGGGTTAATTTATGATATATGAGTCCATATGTTTCCTAAGTAGTAACACCTGTCACCTCTTCTCTTTCAGAATTGCTGTGTGATGCGTTACACTACTGCTGGTCAGCTTTGGAATATAATTTCCCCAAGAGAGTTTGTTGATTTCTCCTACACTGTGGGCTATGAAGAAGGGCTTTTGTCCTGTGGTAATGATCTCAAAACTTATACTTTCTTTTCACTTGTTTGAGTTTTCCCGGCTGGATGTTCCAATGTGAGATATATTTTCAGCCTTCACACTTATTTTATAATCACTAAGCTTTGCAAATGCTACATCACAGGAATTAAAATAACAATATCAAGAAGGGTTTTGAAATCTTTCTGTTAAGTTTTTATTCTCAGTTACATGGTATCCTCCAGGTCATAGCTAACAAACAGGAATCATGTAGCTGCCTCTGAGAAAGGGATGTAGTAAGCAGATTAAGTCACTCTCAGAAAACAGCTTCTTAGTCATATACATAGAAAAAATAGGCATGGTATGTGTTAGAATATTTTTCCTTCCTTGAGCTGTGTAATATTTTTTAAAAAAATGAAAAATACTGCTATTAGAAGGCTCCTGCTTTCTAAAATATATCTGTAGGTAAATCAATCTTTTTTTGTGTATAGTATATGCTCGAGTTGGCAGTTGTAGGTAAATATCTACTTGTTTACTCTTAGCCAGCCAGTACCAAAGTTGGATGTGGTAGTGCCTTTAGGGAGTAGTGGTGGTACCATAGTTTTGATTTTTGGCACCTTGAAGCCTGGATGCTACCACCAAGATTCATAGTTTCCAAGGAGTTACCAAAATGACATAATGTTACCTATTCTGATGGGAGTAGAACTTTCCCCATTACCTCTAGCCCTCTGTCAGAATTCTACTTGGTATTTATCTTTTTCATTCTTCTATGGTCACTCTTGGGGCTTAGTTTTCATCTACATGAGTAAGAAGAAAATTTTTTTTTAATTTAATTTTATTATGTTAATCACCATACATTCCATCATTAGTTTTTGATGTAGTGTTCCATGATTCATTGTTTGCGTGTAACACCCAGTGCTCCATTCAATACATGCCCTCTTTAATACCCATCACCAGGCTAACCCATCCCCCCACACCCCTCCCCTCTAGAACCCTCAATTTGTTTCTCAGAGTCCATAGTCTCTCATGGTTTGTCTCCCCCTCCGATTTCCCCCCCTTCATTTTTCCCTTCCTACTATAAGAAGAAAAATATTTAAACAAGAAATCTGATAATATTATTGTATGAGAGTTGTAGACTAATCTCAGTCACTGCTATTAATGGTGTCATCTTAAAATTTCCTTGTAGGGCTAAGTGTTGACTGGAGTGAAAAGAGACCAGAATTTATTCGTGGATATAACCATCCTTGTGGTTGGTTTTGTGTTCCACATAAAGACAATCCACACCAGAGTCTTTTGACAGGCTACATTCAGACGGATCTGCGCGGGATGATTCCTCAGTCTGCGGTAGATACAGCCATGGCCAGCACTTTAGTCAACTTCTACAGTGATTTACAAAAAGCCCTACAAAAGGCATAATACATTTAAACTTGTAATACGATAGTCCCCCAAATCAACTTTTTCTCTCAGCTCCATGGCCTGTGAAAATCATCCTTTCCTCTCTTCTTTGTAGCCTATAGAAAAATTTGAGATGATTTGCTGGTTTATTTTATTCCTAAAGTAAATAGTTATCTAAGAGAGGGCATTTCCATTTTCTTAGACACTGACTGCCACACTGTTTGGTACAGCAGTGTGTCTAAGCATGGAGAATATGACCCACATCCGTGAAGGTGTAGGTATACTTCTTTGACCTGAACTCTTAAGAAACTAAATACTGCCTCAGTATGAATATTTTGGCTACTTGGAAATTGGAGAAAGCACAAGCTTCATGTTGTTAGTTAAAATCACCTGTTTTGGAGTTTTAGGAACATTTTCTAAGTTTTAACTATTTTTGGAAGCTAAATATTAGAGCATATTTGGTATGCTCTGTGAATTTGCCAGTATCTTGGACTAAAGCAAAAACTATATTTTATACAGGTGAACTTCATTGTCAGGTGACTTGTACTACTTTAAGTATTGAAAAAATCAAAGAATAGATAACAGTAGTATAGATACAATTCAAATACAATTGTTTTGACACCTAGATAACATTCTTTTGTGGATATCTTTAAAAATCTATTTGTATCTTTCTGTGCGTTTCTTTTGGAAGGCCTAAAAAGCATTTATGCATGGCTAAACCAGTACAAAGAACTGCCAAATATGTGCTGGGGACACCACGTTGATTGGATTGTGTGAACTGGTTGGTGGTACCCTATATTCACACAACAGCAAATTGTCTAGAAATCAAATTCAGTGAGTGTTTTGTTCATGTTTTAGTTTAGTTTTGTTTTTTTTAAATTAGCCCTCAAGAAATAGCTTTTAATTAGAAGTATGCGATATTCTGTAGGAAAATAATCAGATTTTCAGTCTTTCTCATGTGATCCATGTTCACATTTCAGTTTTAAAGTATCTTTCACCTCATAAAGTATTACTAAGTATATCATAAACATTCACAGTTGTGACATAACTTCAGTCTGGAACTTTAACAAATACATTCATAGATTTGTCCACATGCCTGGATGAGTCATTTTATAACAAGCATGGACTATAATAGGTCCCTTATTCTGTGGCTGCCTTAAATGAACATTCCTGAATGATTTTAACATTCCAGATAATTCTTTGGCTTTTGAATAACCACCTGGTTTATTTCTAAAATGAGACCTTGAAGCGACTCAGTATATCCATGCAAATGTTTGTATTTATGTTTGTGTTTGGGCACACGTCTTGAAATCTTACCTTCCTGTTCAATGTGAGTTCTTTATGTGGTACTTACTGTATCCATGGTTTTGTTTCTTCTTTTTTTTTTTTGATTAATTTTTTTATACTCTATATTTTATATTCTAGTATTCTGTCTAGGATGGTGAATGCCAGCAGATGTCCAATTATATGGTGCCCAGATCAGGTGAGGGATTTGCAGTAAGATTGCCTGAGCTGGGTACCCCGAAAGCAAATAAACTGTCCACTCAGTGACTCTAATGTTCTCTCTGTCTTTTTCAACTTATACCTCCAATTAGTGACTACATAATCTACTGCTGAATTGGACCCATTGCACGTAAAAGGACCTTCACGGAAGAATTTTTGTTGCAATACTGAGTCATATGATAGGTTGAAAAATAATATTTGAATCGCCTGAAATTTATATGCAGCTTCTAGATGGCATTTTAGATCTGCTGGGCTCTAGTTGGCACTTTTTTTTAAAAAACAGCTTTATTGAGGTATAATTTACATGCTGTACAACTTAACTGGCTGAAGTATACAAAATCCAGTGATTTTTGAATACATTTATAGTTGTGCGGTCATCACCACAATCCAGTTTTAGAACATTTCTATCAACCAAAAAGACTCCTTTTGCCTGTTTGCAGACTCCTGTCTAACCAAAGTTTAGCACAGTTGCCAATATACAGAAGATGAAAAAGATTAGAGTAGGTTTTATCTGGTTTTGTTTTTAAGCGTAGAGGCATAGTTGATTCTAAGCTCAGGCCTTTTGTGGTAATATATTAAATATGTTATCTCAAATACCGTAAGTATACAAAAATTCAATGAATGGGTTGGGATTAATATTAAACATATAATTGAATCTGCTATTTCTGTAGCAGTGCTGTAGAATAGAAAAATAATGTGAGCCATATACTATGTAATTTAAAATTTTCCAGCAGTCACATTAAAAAAGATAAAACAGCTGGTGTTAATTTTAATAATATAATTTATTTAACTCAGTAGATCCCAACTATTACCATTTTACCATGTAATCAATGTAAACACTCATTAGGATAGTTTACATTCTTCTTCTGTACTAATTCCTTGAAATCTGGTGTGTATTTTACTAATTTGGATTAGCCACTTTTAAGTTTGCATTATCCACATCAGGCCAGTGGCCTGCATTGAATAGCACAGATCTGTAGTATATGAATTAATTTGTCTTTTTATAATATAAAGTAATGCATTTCATGGAATTACTCTCTTAAATACAAAATGTTTTCTGGTCTCTGGAGCCTTGAGTGCTTGCTAAATGGGGACTTCTGAACATTAGAAATAAATTAGTTTGTAGTTGTTAATAAAATAAAAATTATAGCCAAAAAAACTTTTCCTTGAAAGATGACCCCTTCCAGGGGGCAGTGAATGAAACAAAAAAATATAATCTGCCTTGTTAGGGGGTTGATTATTTTTTTTAGCTTATAGCTAGTTTGCATCAGAAACCTATTTATGCAGGAAATATTGGCATAGTACTGTTTTCAGTACATGTTACCTATTTTTTTAAGGACATAGTTTCATACAAAAAATCATAAGTTATCATAAGTGATACTTTTGCATGAAGTTTTAGTTTGTATTGATAACTCTTGATTAACCCTTGAAGTTTAATGCAATACTTAGCAAAAATAATTGCGGGAACTTAGTGTCTGCAGTGATGTATAATATGAACTGCTAGAGTGTCTTCGTTTTACTGTTCATCGAGGTTGGATGTATTTGAAATTGTAGATTTCTACATGTAAAATTATCTCCCAGTAAAAATAATTTTCTTTCTTTTCCTCTCTCCTCCTCCTTTCTTTACTAACTGAAAGGCTTATTATCAGCACTCAGGTTGAATTAAATTCACATCTCAAACTAAAAATTCTGCAGTTGAGGTTGCCTCTGGGGAAGATAGGAAAACATTGCACAATTTAAGCCCTTAATTGTATATTGAGCTTTTGGGTATGAGTAATTTCCTTTGATGTAGATAAGAGCTTTACCTATTGACTCAAGAGCACACTGGCGCCCTTAGAATCAGTGGTTAAAATCCAGATCCTTTTACTTACATGGATACTGCAGCTGTCTCCACCTTACGGGTAAATTTTGAAACCCAGAGAAGTTAGGGGACTTTACCAGGTTTCCATCAGAATGGGTGTCAGATAATCACTTGTGTGGTGTATCTCCATTGCCTTTCTTACTTAACAGCTCCGAGAAGGTGGGATCTGAGCATACCAGAAACATAGGAAGTTGGAATTTTAATTTCTTCATTATTTTGTTGTTTCCAAAGATTTTACATGTATAAATAAAAGTTCCTCTCATACAATTCAATAAAAGCTGTACTATATATAGATTTTATTTTTAAGAAGTTTATAATTCTTTTATGAGCCAATATGTAAAACTCGAACCTTTAATAAACTAAAAGCATGTTTTAATATAAACTGTATTTATTTTTAAATTGCTATGAAAAATATCAGAATAAATTACTAGACACTCTTATCACTGATATGGTCTGAGTTGCTTTAACCTTCAGTACTGAAAAACAGTTTCATATGTGTGAACTTAAAATATGTAATTTAACTTCCTATATTCTTACAAAAGGAAAATATAAACTGGAGAATAGCGATTAATAACTCATCTGCTAACCTCTCAGCAAAGCCTCATAGAATATTAGCCCAAATACTGCTGACTTTTGATTTGCTTTTATGTAGCCGGGATGATGATGAATATGTTCTTCCCTTACTACAGCAACATATACACAGGGCTTACTGTACACATATTTAAATAATGGTGTTAACTTGATTAGGAATTGTGATCATTTCATTTGAAGTTGAAGAAAGCTGGAAGTGATGACACAAAGAGACTCGATCTGTGTTACCAGAAAGTAACTATGGATGCTGTGGGCAGTATGCAGTAGAAAATATGACTATTAAATGGTTTAAACAAACTGAGTTATCTTTTTCATTTAATAATGAATCTGGATATAGGTAATTTAGTGTTTATCAGTTCAAAGATGTCAGGGCCAGAGTTTCTGCAGTTCTTATCTTTCTCTCATAATGATAAGGTGATTGACTAGCCCTGAAAATTACATGCACATTCAAGTCAAGAAGCAGGGGAAGGCTTGGCACCACTCATTGGTCTCTTTTATCAGGAAAGTAAAAGCTTTCCCAGAAACCTCTACTAGCTTTCCTTTCCAGTAGTCTCTGCCACATGACCACCGTTGCTGAAAGGGTGGTTGGGGAGGCAAGCATAAGGATTTCCAGCCTTTTGAAGAGAGGGATGGTGATGAATGACTCTTTGGATAGCCAACATAGCATCTCTTAGGGGATCAGCTCTGGAAAGTGGGTGTAAAGCTCCTTCAGATGTCAATAGGAAACGGATAGACTACCAAAACAGAAATGAAAATAGCCAAGTAGTCATTTGCTTCATGAAAAATTTATTGGTCCTCTTTTTCATGGCAGACACTACATAGCCATCCTGAGAAGTGATGGAGCTTCCTCTGTACATTGTCAATAAGGGCTGGTGTCACGTGGCATTTAACACAAATGACCTTTGTTTCTATTACCCCGTAATATTTTCAGAATATATAATAGGTATGATTATATTACAGATAATACAATAATAGAATATGTTATTTTATTCCTCTGGAGCAAAGGGTCCACTACAGACGAAGGCTTCTCCAGCTATGAGATGACAAAGTTGCTGGAAAACAGGAACTGCAAATGTGTCCAGGAGGTGGGGGGTGGAGCCGTGCTACTGTGTTATCAGCTATCCGGGTAATTAGGGGGCTGTACTGTTCTGCTGGTAAAAATAATGGTGGAAGCATAGCGTAAAAGTACTAAACGAGGCTTTTTATTCCTTATTTGGATAGTATTCTTTTTCAGGAGCTTTACCTTCCTACTTAGGTTTTGCTTTCGTTACATCC